ATGTTTAAAAATATTTCTAAAATAGATTAAAGGTTCACCGGAGTTTTTTGGTTATTGAACAGATACAAATATCAACTGTCCTGCTAAAACATACAAAACTACTTTTGAACATAATCTTTGCCCAACAGTCAAAGGAAATTGTAATTTCTGAGGGTTTAAAACCCAATATCATAAACTTTTTTGCATATCACACACAAGGTTAACAACTTTAAAAAAATACCCTTCCTTAATTTAACCAAAATTTACTGCAATTTTAAATAAAAAATCTTTTTTTATCACATTTTAACACACAGTTGGAAAGACGGTCTTTAACATCTTTCGGTTCCGTAAAGAAAACAGTATAAAAACTGTAGAAACGCATACAACACATAAGAACCTGCCACAAGTTTTGTTAAAACAAAAAAACTTTAATTTATTGCTTTAAATATTAAAAAAAAAAAAAGAACCCGTAATTATTATTAACATATCCCGAATCATTTTTAGTGAATGAATGATTGTCACTGCTGTGTTACAGGCTTTTTCAGCACAAATGTGATGATACTAGAACAGAGATTCTGCCTTCAACTGTTAAATAATAAATAGTGTTTCATAGAAACAATATATCCTGAATGAATCTGTTCACCGACTTACAGAGGGAATCCAGCATTCTGAAAAAAAATCGACACTTGGTTTATTCTGAACTAAATTAAAACTAATAACGATTTTTTCAAAGTCTATCAGCCAGGGAAAAACAATACAGAACTTTGTTGTACCTACCATTTGATTCTCTTCGAAAAAAACGACAATATGTGGCCGAGTTGGTGGTGTCGTTTCACTGACATTGGTACATTGAGTTATATTACTTCCGGTAAATGAATTTTCCTTTTTTTCAGGTTGACAACTATCCCTAAAGTTAACTGAATAAAGAAACATTCTAAAAAAAAGCAACGAGCAACGGTACACAAAGCTGACTAAGGTTCTTGACAATTTTTTCTGATTTTTTACATGGGAAATTCATTCTGAACTGCGTTTTGATAACTGAAAATCCGTAATAAGTGCTACATTATAACAATTGACGCACACTGACCTATCATTCTCTTTGATCAACAAATTTTTAGAATCGTTAGGACTGACTAGATCTTTTTGACTAATTTCATCGGGAATCCAAGCTTTTTTAGGTCGAACAATTCCTAAAATAAGACCACACATTAACGATTGCTTGTTCAGATATTTATGCACAATTTTAAAATTACTATTTTGTCGTCATCTCTATTTTTAGCTGCTTAAATATAAAGCAAAAAAAAATTTTTTTTTTTT